TGTTTTTTCTGTGTTTTTGTTCTTCCCGCTCGAGTAGGGACATTGGCGCTCGAGCGGAGTTTGTGGTCTCTCAGTATTTTGACAGGTCTATAAAAGTACTGGAGTGTGTGATTTTGCGCTCGAGCGGAATCTCACGCGCTCGAGCGGACCACTGTGTTGTCACACGCGTTTTTTGTTGAAGACGCTCGAGCGGGATGTGGCGCGCTCGAGCGGAGATCGCGGACTCAGGTTGTCTATTTATACCTATTTAGGTTGTTTTTAGGATTATTTTTCCTAGATCTTATTCAAGAGTCCTAGGGTTTTGTTTGAAGTTTTCTTCTGAGGTTTTTGTGAGTTTTCCTTGATGTTTTGAGAAGAGTTCTTTGCTCATGATCCAAGATACATACATCAAGGAGTTTGTTACTTTAAATTCAAGAGAGAGTTCTCTTCGGTGGATTCCGAAGATTCAAGCGTAGAGTTTTAAAAGGCGTTTGATTCTGCACGTAGTCGTTAATTCGACAAGTGAAGTTGTGGATTCAACTTCAGGATTGATCAGTTCTGAGACAAAGGCGTGGTGATAGAGTTACAGAAGATTCGAAGACAAATTGATTGAGTTGGGTAATTTGTGTGTTATCTTTGTAATCTTTCTTTCTTCAGTAGTGGATTGATTAGTGGCGGTTCACCCGTGATTTTTTATTACAATTGGAGGTTCTTCAATTGTGATTTTTCCACGTAAAAATCGTTTGTGTCGATTTATTGTTTATTTCGAAAAACAAACAATCTAAATCACTCTCGTAAGTGCTTGTTAATTTAGATTGAGTGTTTTAGATATTTGGGATTTGAAATATCTTAATATTGATTTAATCACGAATCACTTAGGATTTTCATATTTATTTTTCATGTAATCCAAGAAAGTAATTTGTATTAGAAAATAGATTATGTTTATATAGATTTGTACTAATAGGAATGATTGCTTGGAGTTTAAGCATAATTTTTTGGAGTCATAGATGTGATGTCTTGATCCAACCAAAGACTAAGATGCATAAATAGTGGTCGTTGTTGACCTAATCTATAATTTTTTAAAAAAAATAAAAAATAAGCAAAAATAATACCGGCAGGCTTCATACATATGAATGGCAACATGATTTTAAGAGTCAATCATACAATGCGATGTCTTTTGACACAATCAAGGACTAAAAATGCTGAGAAAAGTTGCAGCGATGATTTTTGTGATTTTAAATCCGTGTGCAAACAATTTCGAAATACTTGTTTTGTTTTTCTTTGCAACTAGGTGGGCTTAATAAAACAAATTTAAAGTGGATGATATGAAATAGTCGAGAAAAAGATTTATAATTTCTTATTTGATGAAGATCAATTGAATATTCAGGATTGATAGCAAAGTAAACTGCCAAGTAAAAACATACAAGACGTGGAATATTTGTTTTGTTGTAGAACATTAATGGGAAAATTAGAAGGCTTAAACATTCAAAATTATTGTATTGTCCTTTTAATTAATATTAGTTTTGATTCCATTGGAGAAGTCACATCTAAGGGTTGTTTGGAATGACCTAAATAAGTGTACTTTTTGTCTTTTTACGAAAAGATGTGCAGAAAAGTAGAGAAGTAATGTGATGGAAAAAAAATAAAAAGATAAAAAGTACGTACTTATTTTGAGTAGCCAAACTTGACCCTAGTATTATTTTGTGGTACCGTTTATTTGTGGATTTTTTTTTTTATAACTAAAATACGTGTTTTAAAACAACTTTATTATATTGGAGATTTATTAGGTAATATTTACTTTCCAACGTCTAATTGATCCGAAGAAACACATAAAATAATTTGTAGAAAAGATTTGGAATATGAAAGGCTTGTTTTGTATGGAAAAATTCTATAGATTGTTTCTACATGAAATTATGGTGTGGATGTATCTAACAAGAAAATAAAATGGTGTAACTTTCAAAGTATATAACCATTCACACATATTCAAAACTCATCATACACCTCTGTCCCAAAAAAATAAAAAATATATATATAATTTCAAATACCATCTTAGCTCTTTTTAGGAGTTTTTTTTTTTATTTTTGGACCAACAATTTGTGTGGGAGAGTGTTTAACTTCTATTTACAGTTTATAATGGCCCTTCCCAAACCAAGCTTTTTAGCCCAGGCTAAAATAGCCAAAAAAGCCAAAAAGCCAAAAAGTCAACCCACTTCCCAAACCAAGCCTCACACATATTCAAAACTCATCATACACCTCTGTCCCAAAAAAATAAAAATATATATATAAAATTTCAAATACCATCTTAGCTCTTTTTAGGAGTTTTTTTTTTTATTTTTGGACCAACAATTTGTGTGGGAGAGTGTTTAACTTCTATTTACAGTTTATAATGCAAAAAATAACATATATTATTGACCCATTTTCTGGGTAAGTAGATCTACTAGAATAACATATTTATTGACGAATCTAAAATAAAAATAAATTGTTTTTGATTCCTTTGGGCGGTAACACTTTTCTTGAAAAATAAATATCTATTTAAAATGCAAGTCTTAAAATAACTTCATTTAATTAGAGATTTGTTACTTAGTCTGTACTTTTCCACGCCTAATCGACACAAGGAAAGTCATAAAATTATTTTAAAAAATAATTGAAATATGAAAAGCTTGTTTTGTATGGAAGAAAAAAATGCTATACAGTTTCTATATTATTGGATGATCACCGAAAAAAATCAGCTTTTTAGCTTTTTTTATTATTTTATTTAGTGGATTTATTTTTTATTTTTTTAATCCGTCTAGTTGATTAGAATTTTAAGTGTAATTTTTTTAAATTTACAAAATACAAAAAAATATTAATAAGAAGTTACTAAAAAAATCAACAGCAAACGTTCAATTTAACTTCTAAAAATCCAAAATCGACCAAGCCAAATATCTCTTTCCTATAAATTTTTTTATATATTATATGCATACTCTAAAATGTCTTTATATAGTTGGCTTTGAACATGTACTATGGTAGAATTTTACACTAACTAAGATAAATGAAAAGTGTTGGACGTAAGGTAGATATGCAATAATGGTAGGATAACTTTTGGTTGAGATTTAGAATGAGTATTTGAGGCTCCGTTTGGTAGAGCTTTGTAATTATGATTTGAGAATATGAGTTGTATTTTGAGTTTGTGTGTTTTAGAATTATAATTTGAGTGTAGAAAATTTGTTTGGTTATGGTTTTTGAATAAAGTATGGAATTGAGTGTAGAATTGAGTTTTGAAAGTTTGATTTGACATGTGAAGTAAGAAAATTTGTTTGGTTATGAGTTTTGAAAATTAAATTTACTAAATACAAAAAAATATTAATAAGAAGTTACTAAAAAAATCAACAGCAAACGTTCAATTTAACTTCTAAAAATCCAAAATCGACCAAACCAAATATCTCTTTCCTATAAATTTTTTTATATATTATATGCATACTCTAAAATGTCTTTATATAGTTGGCTTTGAACATGTACTATGGTAGAATTTTACACTAACTAAGATAAATGAAAAGTGTTGGACATAAGGTAGATATGCAATAATGTTAGGATAACTTTTGGTTGAGATTTAGGATGAGTATTTGAATTTTTTTAGAAACAATTTTAGTAAAATTGCAGTTTCAACTTGAACCAACACAAATTTACATGGATTGATTTGTTTCAATTCCAAAGAATGATTAATTCGGTCTTAAACTAGAAACTCATTGCCGATCTTCAATTAAATCCTATTCGGTGTGTTTTCATTTTATTTTTTTTTTATTTTTTTTTTCCTTTCGTGTTTTTTAAAACAAAACAATGAAGGTTCAAAAACATTCATTACTCTCATATTGTTTTTATTTTTTTAAATTTCTGGTATTTTTTTGAAAATCTAATTGCAAACCACTTTTTGAATAAAGTCTGTCAAATAAGCTTAGTTTTGGGCAGTTTAGGCCTACGTACGGGCTTCCTTGTAGTGTGGGTTTGGCCTCTGGCATGTTGTTGGTCAATAAGCAGGCTAGAAGTGGGCTGATATCTCATCAAAATTATAGGAAGCTACATTTGGGCTTTCTTAATGTTTTGCCCTTGTGGTTTTAGTATTTGGGCCTATACTGAATAAAATGCATCAATATTTCAAGGCAGAGAAAAGTGGCCTATGATAGATTTGCCTCTACTTCATTGTAATATATCTAGCGAATCACATCAAATGAATCTGCCAGCGAAGGTTACAGATTTGGTGAAGAGGAAGAAATTTATAATATTGTAGTTGTTTATGGTTATTTTGGCCGATTGATCTTTAATATGTTAATTTCGACAACTCTCGTTTTTTATGTTTATTCTTACCTACTTGGCATGTAGTAGGTATCTAATTGATTGCTTTAGATATCAATACTATAAGTTTCAACTTAATTGTTTTCAATTTCAACCAATCTGTAGTTGATAGTCAAGGTCGTGTAATTAATACTTGGACTGATATCATTAATTGTGCTAACCTTAGTATAAAAGTTATGCATGAATATAATGTTCATAACTTTTCTCTAGACCTAACTGCTATTGAAACTCCATTTACAAATAGATAAGACTTTTGGTTATTGTTTGATTTTCAAAATATATTTTAATAAAAATAAAAAAAAAATTAAAACTTGGCAAGAATAATTTTTAAAAATTCAAAATTTTCTTTTTGGATGTTTATTTTTGCCACACTAACTTCTATTTTTTTGAAAAAAATATTTGAAATTAATTCAAGAAAATCAAACCAAACATGGCCATAAAAATTCAAAGAAAATAAAAGAATGAATTTATAGCCTCACTTGAAAATAAAAGTGAAAAAAAAACACAAAAAAGGATACATAATAAATTAAAAGTGGCGTCGCCCGGGTTTGAACCGGAGACCTTCAGTGTGTTAGACTGACGTGATAACCAACTACACCACGACACCGCTTCGTCCGGTTCTTTCTCATAATATTATATATATCGTTTATCTTTTGAATATTCATTCTTGATCCATTTTTAGTTGATTTCTTCTTCTTTTCTCCTCCTCTTCCTCTGCAAAACCCTAGCAGTCTCTCTCTCTCTCTGAACCCTATCTGAGAACTCTGTGATATTCCAAATCCAGCTTCAATCTCTTTCAATTTCAAAGATGTCGAATTTGGACATGTCGCTCGACGATATAATAAAGATGAACAAGAAATCTGGAGGTGGAGGTGGTGGAGGAGGAGGAGGAGGAGCTAACCCTAGAGGTAGAGCTCGTAACTCGGGACCTGGACCAGCTCGTCGACTTCCAAATCGGAGCTCAAATCGCACCACTCCGTATTCAGCTGGAAAGGTGAGTTCGAAACTCTCACAATTTCAGGCTTTTCACAAATTGTTATACAGTATGTGTGTGTGTGCGATCTGATTATTAGTTGTGGTTGTGACTCTGGTGTTGACTATGAATGTGAAATTCGACAGGTTCAAGCGCCGGAGACGACGTGGCAGCACGACATGTTCGCAGATCATGCGACGGCGGCGTATCCAGCGCAGGTCGGGCGAGTGTCGGCGATAGAGACCGGAACAAAACTCTTCATCTCTAACTTGGATTATGGAGTTTCTAATGAAGACATCAAGGTAATGTTTTGGTTATCATTTTTTTTTTTTTTTTTTTTTTTTTTTTTTTTTTTTTTTTATGCACATTGTTTTTGTGCTAGTTCAAGTTCTGTGTTTGTCAAGCTCTGATTCATCATCATCACTGTTTGACCGCTGTTTGGTTTTCTATATACTTTGTTCTAGTACATCACTGTAGACTGACTGTGTGTACTGCAATGAAAAACGTTCATTTAGGACGAAAGAGGACGATGAACAAAATTTATTTTTGGCTATTTGGGTTGTTATTCCTAATTGATTATTCTTTTTTCTTTTTCTTTTTCTTTGAGCATCTCTAACAATACTAACTATTTTAGTTAGCGAAGGCATACCAAAAAGTTATGTATCATTTTTTTGCAATACATACTCTAATAATGCTAGCTATTTTAGTCACCCATTTCAGCAATCATTATTTTTTTGAATTCACACTTTTAAGAGAGGAAAAACTGGTGAGCAAAAGAAAAATGGAACAATTTTTTTGACTAGTGAATAGCAAGGTTATCATCCTGTACTGTACGGTCAAATACAGTCCAAGATATACCGTTTCAACCAAAAGGTGGTACCCTCACCCTTCAGTTTTGTTCTAGTTAAAATACCGATTGTTTTTGGGTAATTCTCAACAATTTGCCGAATGTTGTCCATATGCTCTTCTATCGGTTTTTGTCTGAGACCCAAATCTTATGCGAGTTATTGAGCAACAATGATCTTTGTGTCACAATTCTTGTGGTAGATTTGTAGTATCACAATTCTAGTGGTGGATTTGGATTTGTATTTGGATTTGGATTTGGTGGATTAGAGAGCCAAAATCTTATGCTAGTTGTTGATTCAATTCCTGTCGGCGATCAGCATGTCAACAAGAATGAGGGTTTGGCCGGCATCAACAATGTCAAGGCTCAACTGACTGCCAAGTTCAAATTGTGCATGTCTTACTGCCAATGAGATCACAACTGCTGACTGGAGAGAACTTTCTCAGCAATATTGTTGCTATGGTGTTGTAGGGGCTCTGTGCTCTCTGCATTTCTCCAAAACTCCCCTTTCTTGAGTTGCTTGCTCGTGCATAGCAGAAGGCAAAAGGATGATCATGTGAGGGTAAGCTGGGAAATGATTATTTTAAGAAACTTGACATAGGTAAATTGGAAAAATAATTTATTTGTTAGATTTGTAAATTTGACTTTTGAACAGTGACGAGTTATCTGTTATTTCAAATTGCATAATTGTACAACTACTTGTTTTGCATGTTTAATCGAATTTTCGACCATTGATAACACATCGATACTTGTATGTACCGTCCATAACAAAAAATGGTATTGTAACTGGTATGATATTCACAACTTTAGTGAATAATGGCTAGCTAAATTTAGCTAGTAATATTTTAGCTATTTAAAATATAGAGTAGTAAGAGCATCTCTCATGGTTGATGCCATAGCGAAAATGCCAAAGCCAAATTTTGCATGTTATAGTGCCAAAATGTTATAATTTGAAAATCTTGCTTTAATGGTGATAATGCTATTTTTTCTAATTTCACAAAATGCCAAATGAAAATGCTATCTGTGGGTCAATCATCGTGAGAGAGGTAGAAAGAGTTTTCCAAATTTGGTAATTGCCAAACTTTCTGTCAAATTTGGCAAGAGGTTTGACAATGTAATACTTTGTCAACAGCTTTGGTAAACCGTTGCTAATGAATTTTTAAGAGGTCTTGCCAAAATTTAACTTTGGCAAGGGTTATAGCGGCCTTTGTAGGTCACTAGATATGCTCTAATATTAGGGGGAAGCTAGTTAAAATGGCTAAAAGGGCTCATTTATTTAGCATGTCTCCAACTCTAGTAGCCATTTTAGCTAGCAAAAGTATAATAAAAAGTATCTTTTTTCTATTTAACTAGTTGCTTCTTGTAAGCTAGTCACTTTTAACAACAATTCTTTTTTTCTTTTTTTTTTAATTTACACTCTTAAATAATGATATCGAAAAATATGTATCACTATTGGCAATATTGTTACATATCAGTTGATATTTGGCAGTAGCAGCTGATATAAACAGTATTGGAAATTCAAAATTTGGTTAGGTAACAACCGATACAATGCATAACAAATGATATTTAAAATCTCCATGAATAGAGGAAGAGGGAGATTAAAAAAAAAAATTAGTTTTATTGGGTTTGGTTAACGAGTGCCCTAAGGGCATTGGTTAACAAAGTTTAAAATTGATTGGACATTGCATAGTTTTATTTATGTACAAGCATTTCAAGCTTCTTATCAAGTGCTCTAAGGGCACTAATAAACAAAATCCTTTTAAGTTTAGCTATCAAGAGGGGCTAGTTAAATAGCTATAAGGGCTAAAGTTGTTGGAATTGCTCTTAAGAGGCTAGCCAAATGCGCCATTTTAGCTAGTTTCTCCCCAATTTTATCTCTTCAACAAGCTAGCTATTTTAGTTAGTCCTACTCTTGATAGCTAACTTAAAAACTTTTTTTTTTGGTCTCCCTCTTCGTCTCTCCCCACTTTTCCTCTCTCTCTCTCTCTCTAAAGTGTAAATAATAATAATAATAATAATAGTGGTTAAAAGTGGCTAATTAAAATAGAGAACATTGATGGATGATGTATTACAAAAAAGTTGGCATGGTAAAATAAAAAACACTTTTAGTATATTTTTGCTAGATAAAATGGCTTGCAGTAACCTTGCCAAACTCAAAATTTAGGAAGATCTCTTAAAATTATCTGCAATGGTCTACTAAAACTATTGTTATATTATCATATTGCCAAACCTTGTGCCAAATTTGACACAAAGTTTGGCAATAGCCAAATTGAAAAAAAAAAAATTTAATAATAATAATAATTAAAATTAAAATTCTTTGCTTATTTCATGATAGGCCCATAAATAGCATTTCTATTTGACATTTTGTGAAAATCAAAAAAAAAAACATTTGCATCATTGCAGCAGGATTGTCAAATTATAGCATTTTGACACTTCCTTTGTGATATCAACAACAAGAGATACTCTTACCACTTTGACAAGTTAACTAATTGCATAGCTATTTTAAAAAGTTCCAATCTTGCTAGCCACTATTCACTAGTCAAAAATAATATTTGCTCCACTCCAAATGGATAGCCATTTCAGAGAGCTCCAATCTTGCTAGTTAAATTTAACTAGCCACTATTCACTAGTCAAACATAAAAAAAATAATATTTGTTCCGTTTATGTTTTTATCTCTTGAGAGTGTTAATTCATAAAATTAATAGTTGTTGAAAAGGCTAGCTAAAATAATAAGAATCGTGTAGCTTCATCATAACATTTAGGAGCTTACAATAGTGTAAAATATACTTGGAAATTGGGAACGTTGCACAAAACATGCCTAGGTTTTGGTATGAAGTAAATTTATGCATTAACTCAAGGATATGCAAAAAGAGAGCAGTAGCCCAAATGATTACAAGGGAAGATTAGTCAACATGTATTTAAATGAGATGTGTTACCAACCAATACAACCCAAGACCTGTCCCAGGGCTCAAGAGACCCTAACCAGTTGATAGCACCGGCCTTTAAACCAAAGCTGAAACTCTCCTTAACACCAGTTGGTTTTAGGAGAGATAGTGCAATTTGAGAGTGGAAAGTTCCTAACATGTGGTATCAAAGTGTACTTCGCAGGTTTGAGGCACTGAGGGTGGTTCCTTGTTGGGGGCAGGGGGGATTGTTTGGGTATGGGACCAAACAATCCAAACGTTATGCGGTGAGACTTGCATAGGGGATTTTTGATGTGTTTAATAAATCAACCATTGATTAAAAAAAATAAATTCCACATATCTTTTGTTGCTTTTTTTTTCATATTAAGCATGTAGGTTGGTCTGAATGAATTAGTTATATCATATATGTTGGATTGTTAGATTGAATTTGATCTAAGTAGTGGTAACTGATAAACACGACCTGAGCTAAGTTGTGAGAAGTTTGGCAGATTCTATGAAGTGATTAGGATGCTGCTTATATATAAGATGTGTGATGTGGACGGAAAAGGTCTTAGATGAGGAAGGATTTGGAGAATTTTGGAAAGATAAGGATTTTTAAGAATTGTTATAACATTAGATTATTATCAAGGATTTAATTATTTTGCGACTTTTAATGAGGATTTTATTATTTTGGAAACCCTTAATTGATGTTTTTTATTTTTATAATTATTGCCTCGTTTTAATTTTGGACATTCCTGAATTAGGGTTTTTGGTTTCCTATAAATAGGCCAATATGTAGTTGGTTTTTTCCAGCTTTGAATGAATATTGAACACTGAGAATTTATTTTTGCGTGTTGAGAATTTCTGTAGGGTCAGGGTTTAGTTTATTTGATTGAAGTATTCTTCTTTCGCTACAGTATTTCTCTTTGCCAGCCGTCCTACATCAATGTGACTTTGTTCTCTTGGTGCTGGAAAATTTTTATTTTGAATTTTTTTTTATAATTGAGCATTTTTCCTGTCTTTATGTGCATGAGCACCTAGTCCCTTTACCATAGCTGAATGATTGAAAATGGAGAGGCATATGAGTTTGTCAAATGGGACTTTCTAGGGTAGCAAGGGGTTTTAGTTTCTATAAGTGGTTAATAAAGTAGATCAAAACAGGTTACTCTGTGTTTCCCTAACGAAGTGACTCAAGTTTTTGTCTCCTTAATTTACCTATCAAATAAATAAATCAAGTACATCAAACTAGGGGGAAGGAGGAGGAGAATTTAGAGATCAGTCCCTATTGCCAAACTCAACAGGCATCACAGCCAAAAACTAAAATTGCATCACACAACCATAAGGAGAACTTCAAAACTGTGATAAAATTCGTAAATTTGTTCTTTGTTGTATTCAAAACATCATATGTAAAATATCTAAACAAACTTATTAAGTCTGTGTATATATAAATATGGAAAACCTCGACTTATTAAGTGTGTTAGTTGTGTGTATCTAAACAACTTGATTGTAGGTCACTTCTCTTTGGCCCAACCTCAGCCCATTATGTGCAATGAGCTTTTGGCTGAGTTAGTCTTAGCTCAAGCTTAGCTTGCAGTTGAATTCAGCCGTAATTTTTTTTACCAAGCTCAGTTTAGTCCAAACTCAAACTAAGCTGAGCCCAAAAAGTTTGAGCCTCAAGCTTGCTAGCCCGATTAGCATTTCTAGTGCATGTGTTTTGTGTGTGTGTTCGGTATATTTATGAAGCACTGACACTTCAAAGCAATTGTCGTATCCGTGTCGGACACTTCGGTGTCACGTATGGGATACACCACATGACGTGTCCTTTTATTTAATTAATTTATTTTTAGGAAACACTAGGGGCATGCCAAGTTTTTTCTCATATTTTATTTAGTGCTTTTGATAAATGTTGAATGTTTATTATTTTTTTTCTTAGATTTAAATACTTAATAGATCATCTATTAAAAAAAATATAAACTGTAAGTATTAATTTAAAAGTGCTTTTTAAAATTTAAAAAAAAAAATAGATTTAGTGTTATTTTTTATTAAAATTGATTGTTTGTGAATGTAATATTAATTTAGATAGCAAATATATATATATATATATATATGAAAACATATTTTATTGTCGTGTCTCCGCCGTGTCCGTATCTCCATTTTTTTGAAATCATTGTCTTATGTCCACATCCATATCCGTATCTATGCTTCTTTAGGTGTATTATATTAAACTCACTGTTGAGTCTCTTCTATCACTGTTGCCCCCCATAATCCTTTGTATCTAATATGAAGAACTCGAAAATGTAAAGGCCTGTTTTGTGGTTTAATGAGTTTTTTTATGTACAGGAGCTCTTTGCAGAGGTCGGGGACCTAAAACGTTACTCAATTCATTATGATAGGAGCGGAAGATCAAAGGTACCCATCAAGTTTGGCATACTATGGTCCTTCCGGGAATTGTTTGGTCTATTTTGGAAAGTGGGTTTTTTTTTGGCTTATTGGCTTATTATGAAAAAAGTGCAAAAAAAATAAAGAGGTGATGTGATCCAAATAAGTCAATAAGCTGGCTTTTTTTTGCCTTCCCAAAAGATTCATTTGTGTCCTGCTTCGTTAAGAAACATTATTTCTATTAGGGAACGGCAGAAGTAGTCTTTTCACGGCGAAAAAATGCTGAGGAGGCTGTGAAAAGATACAACAATGTTCAACTGGATGGAAAGCCCATGAAAATTGACACTGTAGGAACAAATATTACAACTTCTGCTGCTCCACCTCCATCTACAAATGGCATGTATGGAGATCAAAATGGTGCACCGAGAAGGTTTGCTCCTCAAACTTGATTGCTGCATGTTTCAATTGCTCAGCATCCTAAACCAATTGACAAGAAAAAATTTGTACTGATTCCTGCAAAAAATTAAAAAAATAAAATTAGGTGGTGTGTTTGAAATTACCTGACATGATTTTGACCTCAATATTGAAATTTATAGTCACGGCTATCCTTGTCAATATTCACAATGTGATGCTCACATTGTTATGACATAGAGAATACAACTGTATTCTGTTAAGTTGCAGTTATCAATTGACTATTGACCTTTGAACTTGTTTAATGTTTAATCATTTTAAAGTAAAATAGTTATTGTATCTTTTAAAATTAAATGATTTGAGACCCATGCGCTAGTGTTTCTGAGGTGCTCCCTATTTGGCCAAATTACAGGCTTTGATTTTATGAGAATCATCTGGCTCTTCTATTGTTGTTTGTGTGGGTATTTAAGTTGGAATTATATGCCTTCTAGTAGAAACTTCTAAGTTTTGTATTTCGTATGAATTCACTTCGAGTTATATTTTTGTTTGTATATTTGTAATTAATGTGTTTTAGGCATCTACTATTATCCAATGAGAGCAGTCAAGGAAGAGGTGGTGGTGCCCTTGGACGACTTCAGGGCGGCGGCGGCGGTGGTGGTGGTGCCATTGGACGACCTCGAGGTGGTGGCCGAGGCAGCTTTGGGAGGGGCCGTGAACGTGGCGGTAGAGGTCGTGTTGAAAAGGTTTCTCCTGAAGATCTTGATGCCGATTTGGAGAAGTACCACGCAGAAGCAATGCAAACAAATTGATGGCAACAAACAAGATCACCATGATCTTCCTCAGTTAGCACACTCTGCTGTATGATGCCTCAACTCTTTAAAGTGGTCATATTTTCTTCCAACATGCTCTACTAAGTTTTGAGAACGAAATGCAATCGTAGATTATTGCTTAGATTTTGTTTTGAAGCTTAGGTTCTTTTATTATGGTTTGAATATTATTGTCATTATGAGAAATTGTTGTTTGTACCATAGAACTATTTTGTTCATCTCCCTTTGTATTCTCCATTGTTCCTAGGTTTTTTTTTTTTTTTTTTTCTACGTTTTCCTAGGTTGTTGAACAACTAATTCTAGTTTTTTTTTTTTAATTGCTTGTGAACTACACAAATGTTTAAGCTGTGACACTGACGTTTAATATGTATTGAGGATCATCAGTTGATGGATAGCTGTTGGAGTTGCTTTTGTTGCCAGCATCAGTAGAGGATTAGTTTCTTCACTCTCTCTCTCTCTCTCTCTCTCTCTCTCTCTCTCTCTCTCATTTCTTGTAATTTGCCCTGGCAAAGTTGAAGTGAATCCACTCATTTTGTTTTTACTTCCATTTGATTGATTAGCTATTTAGCTTGCATTGCTTGGGTGCATGGTGTAGTCTTGGTTTGTTCTGGGAATAGCATTAATCACCCATATATAAGCCAGTGCAAAACTCTCATCACATCCATGATTTTGCATACAATATGATGTGAATAGCATAGATGTACCGTTGCCTTGTACTCAGCTCAACAAAACAAGTGAAGCAAAAAAAAAAAAATTTTGGTAGGAGGTAACAGCAATGGAAGATTGGTGGTAGACAAAAGCGAGATGCAGGAGATCAGTAATGTGAACTTTTAATGAAAATTTTCAAAAGAAAAATGCTTGGGAGCACTAATTAGTGCTCCCACTAATTAGGTGGCAGTGGGTCCCGCCATTAATGATGTGATGTTTTGGTCTTGGAGTTGTATTTTTTTTTTTTTTTACTTTTTTAATGCATTAGTGCTATTAGTGGTGATGTTTTTAGTGGGATGAATCATTGTTGATATCCTGATAGGCAGAATCAACCAATGCATTATCAAATCAAAATGTATTAACAATCCCACGTAAACAAAAGTAACGATTTCATACCTCTGGAAGACCATTACAATCCTCTACATATATTAAACGAATCAAGATTGTCTTCTTGATTTTTCTTCGTAATTTTTCTTCTTGGCTTCCTACTTTAATTTCTCTCCTTGATTTCTTATTTGTTGGGCCATTGGGCTTAGACTCAATTTTGATAATTTAAACTGTTCATATTTTAAGATTTGTTGAGTATATCATACTTATAAAAAAATTAAGGGAAAATTGGCCTAAGGTCCCTCTCCCACTTTTCGTAATGAAAGAGATCCACAAAATTATTTTTTGATATCTAAGGTCCCTAAACATATATCAGAGAAATTTGGCCTTACCAAATCAAAACTCATCTCTCTCTCGCTCTAAACTTCTCCATTCTCAGGAGTTCGAGGCAGTCCCCCGCATTTGCCGCCTCATTCTCGCCGTCTACGAGGACGACCTCCGCTACCCTACGACATCTACGCTCCCTTGTGCCTACCATCATCTTCAAACGCTCTCCCGGTATAACTCCATTGATTGAGATTGTTTTCTGTACAAGCAGCGGCAGCCTAGATAATATATTTGTGTTGGTCCATCCATGCCCTTCTCAAAGTAGCAGTGGAACTCTAGGGATAGGAGGATAGCTTGATTCTATAAAATTCAGATTCTCATGTGTTGCATAGATTGGCTGACAAGAATGCTGTGAAAATTTAATGTTCGATAAGTTTCTTGTTTCAAGAGTCTGGAGTTATCCATCCTTGAGTTGCGGCTGTTTGAAGTGTAATGGATGATTATAGCCACCCTGAAGGGCTTTGAACTAGAAATATATGTATTTATGTGTCTTTTGGTTTTGTTGTGTGAAAACCTTCTTGCATGCTTCTTAGATTGCGACTAACTAGTGTCTTTGGATTGGAGAACTTCAACTGCATCTGTATACAGTGGCTATATTGGTTAGGTACTGCATTAAAAAATTATTCAAAGGTTGGAGTGGTGAACAGTATCCCCAAAGAAATTATCTGGGTTTGAACTAAAATTTCTCTGGATTGATCCAGAGAAATTTCAAAATTTTTCTAGAGAGGTAATGTTGATATAGCTAGTTATCATACATGTTCATGAAACTTCCAAATCCTCTTGTAAATTTACAGTTCTTATGTTGATTGATATGTTATACCTACTATTCCTCCTCTGTTATAAATCCTTGAATTTTACAAAATTGTTTTTGGAATCTTGCTGAGTTTTTCAAATCTTGCTCAGTATTTCATATATTAATGCCTTACTATTTGTTGAAACATTTTGTCAAACCTCTCCATTCAAAACTATGATTGAATCACAATATACAGAGTTCCATTGTTGTTGCACATATTAGAGCAATTTGCATTTTAGATTGCATTTTCTGCAACCTACACCTGCTTCCACGAGGTTGGTCTTCAATTTATGTTCGGAGAAATTTGGTGGATGAATCTGCAAACATCAATATCAGTTCCAGAGAAGATAAATTTGGAAGTCAGAGAGATTTGGACTAATTTTCTCTGGACTAATTTTTTCTGAATCAACTTAAGGGACCTTAGACATTATAAAAATATTTGGTGTCCTTTACGCTATAAAATGTTAATACCAGGGACCTTAAAAAAAATCTCAAAAATTAAATTGATTGGATATCAAAAATTATATTGAGAAAATTATTTATTAAATTTTTTTTAAAAAATAATTTTTAATTTAATGATCTGAACACGTAATTTTTAATATCTGATTAACTTAATTTTTTATAAATATAATATCCTCAATAAATTTTGAAATATAAATAAATTAAATCACCAAAAACAAACCCAATAAATAGAGAGCCCAGAAATAAAGTCAGTGAGACCCGATAACCCAATAAATAGAGAGTCCAGAAATAAAGGCAATGAAAGAATCTGATTCATATTAAACTCCCACACTAATTTCAACTTATTTTGAAAAGTAATTAAAGGCTGATTTTTATTTTTTTTTTACATGCTGATTTTAACTTTTTTTTTTAAAAAAAATATAACAAATTAAGACCTGTTTATTTTTAAAGATAGAGTGAAAGAGATTTATAATAAAAAAATTACTAGTGAGAGATTAATAGTGAATAATTATTAAATTATTTTTATATAAATTAATAAAAAAATAAAAAAAAAATATAAAAAATTAAACATTAATATTTAAAAAAATATATCAATATATAAAAAATAAAAATAAATAAAAAAATTTTTAATTCGCTCGCTATTTTTCTAATACTATCTCTATCTCCTCCTTACTAATTCTCAAGAGATTAATAATCCCCTCCCTATAATCCCAACCAAACCAAATCCCCAAGAGATTAATAATTCCCTATAACCCTACCGAAACGAGGCCTAAGATAGTAATTTGACCCCCAAAAGCCAGCAACTGAAAAACACCGCTTTTAGGGAGGCCTTCATCTATCTATACTATTATAAAGTGAACACCTCTTATGGTGTCCTGCAGCTTTACTCTCCCCATGCCATATGACAATATTTTTTAATTTCTAAAAAAAAATTAAACAAAGTGATGAATAAAACTTAAACCCATAACTATGAATTTAAATACAAAGACTCATACTACTTAAGCTAAATACACATTACACATTATAATTATTAATTTTATTATTTTTTTTTTTTATTCCTACTCATTTAAATTACACACATCGTGTCTCACCGACTAGTCTTCTACAATTTGCACAAGCAAATGTCTAGAGACAATAACTTAATTACAAATGATCAAAATTAAAACTCCAGAGACCATCACACAGCCTATTAACACTAAATACAATTAACGAGATCAAGATTATTTTGTAAAGCCTTTCAGTTTCAAAACATATAACAATAAGCATATCAAAACCAATCACTTGTAGATCTTTAGTTCTACATTTTCAGTTGTGTAATTCTATTTTGAATCGGAAATATCTCATTTAGGGAAATCAACAAACATACACATGTGCATCTGTACGTATATATAATTTAATCACAACACAACATGATGGTGGATGAGAAGAGAATAATTGGATCCGAAATCAAGGAATATCATTGAAGAACAAACACATTTCCAATCCAAATAAGACTACAGTACATTCAACTTAGAAACATTTAAAAACACTAAAACCCAATTTCAAAAACACATGAAACTAACCCCTAAACCACCATTTACAGCCAACAAACCCTAATAACCCCCCAAAAACGCCAAACCAAACGAAACCCTAAAAACTCAACCCCCAAACCCATACAAAGTCCTTCCCTGCCTCTTCAGAGCATAGACCACATCCATGGCGGTCACAGTCTTCCTCCGAGCATGCTCAGTGTAGGTGACAGCATCACGAATCACGTTCTCTAGGAAGATCTTGAGAACACCACGAGTCTCCTCGTAGATGAGTCCGCTGATCCTCTTGACCCCCCCTCTCCGAGCCAGACGCCGAATCGCAGGCTTGGTGATTCCCTGGATGTTGTCTCGAAGGACCTTCCTGTGCCTCTTTGCTCCTCCCTTGCCCAATCCCTTACCACCCTTTCCTCTGCCAGACATTTTTAGAGAGAGAAGATTTCTAGGGTTTCAGAGGAGAGAGATAATTTCGAAATCTTAGTGATGATGAGATGAGGGGGATAAGAAGGCGATGGGCGTTTTTATATATGGCAAGAGTTTGAGGCGGGAAGATGTGGATCGTTGGATTGAGAGGAGTAATCGACGGGTGACGATGACGATCCGTGTCGAGGGGTTTGAAGAGTTGTGAGTCGTCCATAGTAGGTGGATCGACGGTGGAGAGTTGGTTAGTTAGTAGTTTCGCGGATTGTGTTTTTTGGGGTTTGTACTAGCGTAGCGTGTGACTTTTGTATAGATTTGAAATTTGAAGACCGGATTAATTCACCAATAAATCGACTTATTGTATTTATTTATTTAAAATATTATATAAAAAAATGAGATTTTTGAAAATAATTTTATTGACTAATAAAGTAATTATAGATTAACGAAAAAAAAAACTACTTAAAATTTTAAATTACAAATTCCTAAAATCTCTCCACTAATGTTTCTCTCTTTTCTAAATCTCATCTCATGACAAAATAATTACATATTAAAAAAATATTATACATTAAAAAAATATAAATCTCATCTCATAACAAAGTAATTATATATTTTTTATAAAAAAATTATAGATTAAAAAGAACGTAAAATCAAAATGGCTAATTTTTGTAATTTTAAAAATATTTAAAAATAGTACTATTGGCTAACAAAGTAATCATAGATTATAAAAAAAAAATTTAAAATAAATAAATAAATAAGAAAGTAATTATACATTAAAAAAAAACCTCATTTCATAACATATTAAAAAAATAATAATTGAATTATAAGGTCCTAAAATCTCTCTCATAATATTTATCTCTTTCCTAATTCTCATAATCTATCTATCTATCTATCTATACTATATATTAAACAAAATGAGGTTTTTAACCCCCAAGGCCTGTGCGAGCTTCAATATTCCAATCTGAATTTTCTAAAATTTTTATTTAAAAAAAAACTGAACATTTATTGATTTGGTCAAAATTTCCTGATCAACATTTATTAACTTTTTTCAATCCACATGTCTTTCCACATGCCTGCATTTATTGATTTGGTCAAAATTTCCTGATCAACATTTATTAACTTTTTTCAATCCACATATCTTTCCACATGCCTGCATTTATTGATTTGGTCAAAATCTCCTGATCAGAATTTAAAATCCCCTCATACAAATAATTATAGATACAATTCGTGTATAATTATTGTAGTATCTTTTTCAATTTCTCCCACATATTATGGTTAGTAATAAGATTGTTAAATTATTTTTATAAAAAATCTTTAAAAACATAATTTATATATTAAAAAAATCTAAAACAAATATAAATACCTATAATTATCCCGTGCATAATTATATATTTTTTATAAAAAATTATAGATTAAAAAGAACGTAAAATCAAAATGGCTAATTTTTGTAATTTTAAAAATATTTAAAAATAGTACTATAGGCTAACAAAGTAATTATAGATTATAAAAAAAAATTTAAAAAAATAAATAAATAAGAAAGTAATTATACATTAAAAAAAAAAACCTCATTTCATAACATATTAAAAAAATAATAATTGAATTATAAGTTTCTAAAAAATCTCTCATAATATTTATCTCTTTCCTAATTTTCATAATCTATCTATCTATCTATCTATACTATATATTAAGCAAAAGAGATTTTTAATCCCAAGGCCTGTGGGAGTTTCAATATCCCAATTTGAATTTTTTAAATTTCTTATTAAAAAAAAAACTCAACATTTATTGATTTGGCCAAAATCCCTTGATCATCATTTATTAACTTTTTTCAATCCATATGTCTTTTCATATGCTTACATTTATTGATTTGGTCAAAATCCTCTAATCAGCATTTAAAATTCCCTCATACAAATAATTATAGATACAATCCGTGCATAGTTACTGCAGTATATTTTTCAACTTCTCCCATACACTATGGTTAGTGATAAGATTGTTAAATTATTTTTATAAAAAATCTTTAAAAACATAATTTATATATTAAAAAAAATCTAAAACAAATATAAATACCTATAATTATCCCGTGCATAATTATATATTTTTTATAAAAAATTATAGATTAAAAAGAACGTAAAATCAAAATGGCTAATTTTTGTAATTTTAAAAATATTATATATGTCTTGGCCCCATTAAATTGTAGTTTTCATTGATCAAATTTTTTGTTTTAGCTTAGCATTTATTAAATTCTCTAATGTCTTTCTCATGACAAAGTAATTACATATTAAAAAAACATTATACATTAAAAAAATACAAATCTCATCTCATAACAAAGTAATTATATATTTTTTATAAAAATTATAGATTAAAAAGAACGTAAAATCAAAATGGCTATTTTTTGTAATTTTAAAAATATTTAAAAATAGTACTATAGGCTAACAAAGTAATTATAGATTATAAAAAAAAATTAAAAATAAATAAATAACAAAGTAATTATGCATTAAAAAAAAAAACCTCATTTCATAACAAATTAAAAAAATAATAATTGAATTATAAATTCCTAAAATCTCTCTCCTACTATTTATCTCTTTCCTAATTCTCATAATCTATCTATCTATCTATACTATATATTAAGCAAAAAGGGTTTTTAATCCCAAAGCTTGTGGGAGCTTCAATATCCCAATCTGAATTTTTTAAATTTCTTATTAAAAAAAAAACTCAGCATTTATTGATTTGGTCAAAATCCCCTGATCATCATTTATTATTTTTTTTCAATCCATATGTTTTTCCATATGCCTGCATTTAATTATATATTTTTTTATAAAAAATTATAGATTAAAAAGAACGTAAAATCAAAATGGCTAATTTTTGTAATTTTAAAAATATTTAAAAATAGTACTATAGGCTAACAAAGTAATTATAGATTATAAAAAAAATAAAAAATAAATAAATAAATAAATAACAAAGTAATTATATATTAAAAAAAACCTCATTTCATAACAAATTAAAAATAATAATAATTGAATCATAAGTTCCTAAAATCTCTCTCCTAATATTTATTTCTTTCCTAATTCTCATAATCTATCTATCTATCTATACTTACTATATATTAAGTAAATGGGAGTTTTTAATCCGAAGGCCTGTGGGAGTTTCAATATCCCAATCTGAATTTTTTAAATTTCTTATTAAAAAAAAAACTCAGCATTTATTGATTTGGTCAAAATCTCCTGATCATCATTTATTAACTTTTTTCAATCCATATGTCTTTCCATATGCCTGCATTTATTGATTTGGTCAAAATCTCCTAATCAGCATTTGTAGTTAGATAGCATTATAAAAAATGTGATTTGTATAATTGAAGTTATCTCCTTTTGTTTATAATTTGATTTTTTAATATAATTGAAATTAGATAAATATAAACACTCAAGGGGGTTTTTAAGTAAAAGGAGGTTTTTAACCCCAAGGCCTGTGGGAGTTTCAATATCTCAATCTGAATTTTCTAAATTTTTTCTTTAAAAAAAAAACTCAACATTTATTGATTTGGTCAAAATCTCCTGATCAGCATTTATTAACTTTTTTCAATCCACATGTCTTTCCACATGCCTGTATTTATTGATTTGGTCAAAATTCCCTAATCAGCATTTAAAATCTCCTCATACAAATAATTATAGATACAATTCGTGTATAGTTATTGCAGTACCTTTTTCAACTTCTCTCATACACTCTGGTTAGTGATAAGATTGTTAAATTATTTTTATAAAAAATCTTAAAAAACATAATTTATATATTAAAAAAAATCTAAAATAAATATAAATTACTATAATTATCCCGTGCATAGCACGGGTGACAGGCTAGTACTCTATTGTATCAAAGTGACTTTTTATCCTAGAGGCTCTAAATGTTTCAAAACCTTAAATCTAATTTTTTGAATTTTTTATTTTTATAAAAAAATAAAAACATCTACTGACTATTCCAAGGATATGAATATTAACCTTTAAAATTATTTAATACAAATATATTACCGGTCAGTACCCACACACACAAAAAATAAATAAAGAAATAAAGAAGCACACAATTCTCAACCCCCCCCTCCCTCTAAAAATATATCAAGGCTTTATTACATTCATAGAACGATGAAACTCATCATTTATAACTTTTTTTATAAGACAATTTAGAGGTTAGTTTATATTTAGTCTATTGTATTCTTTAAACAGACGCTTTCATCCTTTAGATACACTATATTTTGTTTTTGTATTTCATATTTTATGTGTCATTTCTGTAATAACCACCTCCTTAATTAACTGTTAATTCTGTGGGGTTCCTTGATTATATGTTGCTTGTGTGTTTCTGTGTATTCTTGTGTGTCATTTGTGAATTGACAAGTGTTATTGTGAACAAATATGGTTAGGACGTGAACTGGACCTGTCTGAATTGTTAAACCATAAAGTAAAAAAAATTAAATGTTTGGATAGGTGATTGGAGCCTAATTCATAATAGAATAATTAAGTTTAGTCTAGCTGGCCTTGTTTGGGAACAGACTATTTTAATAACTTTAAATGCATGTGCGGAGAGCATGTGCGGTAACAGTTTCGCACATGCAGATTTTAGGGCAAGCTCAGTTTTGTTTTCTTTCCCTTTTTTTTACCTTCTGAGCCTCCGTTTGCATAGTTTTCACGTGCATTTCACATACATATGCATTTCATGAACACAAAGGGAGTTAAAGAGCTAATAGAACTAATCGAACGAACAAGTAATGAAGGAACCGAATAGATTAAGAACCAACTGAATGAATTGATTGTGAATTGAACATGTTATGCTTGAATGTGCTTCTGTAGGTCAGATATTGCATCCTAGCTATGTGATTCAAGGAGCCAACTGTAAGTAACAACCTTGTGAAGATATGTTTGAATTATAAGTATTTTCTAACTTATATAATGTTCTGTTTTTGAAATGATATTTTCTGATTAGTTAAATGATTGTCCTGTTTTCTGAACTGTATTCATGGCATCCTTAGTATCTGTTATTGCTATTATTACTATTACTGCTACAGAGGTCTCTGTCAATTCCAATTCTTGAAACTTCTGTTTATTGTATTGATGG